CTACAAAACTTCTAGAAATCAAATCGATTCCCAATGCCGCAGGAGAATATGAGTTGGAACTGGAACCCTCTGTGGATCAGATTTAAGCTGCCAACTGGTGAATACTGTTCAAGTGGCTTCCTCTCTTTCAAGCAAATAGATACAGTTCCTGGCTTTGGGAAAGAAAAATCGCCTTGAGGGTTAAAAATTCTCCAATTTCTCCTGTCACCAAGTAAGCAGTTTGAATCTGTAGGCGATTTAAGTGAAATGCCCAAATTGTTCCCTTTGATGCCAAATGAAGTTAAGTCTGCAAAGAGATTCCGTGGAATTGGCAGTTCGATATTGACAACACTTTTAATTTTTCGTTGTCCGTGGAGCAACTTCTTTACTGATGTTTTTAGCTGCTCAAGAAATAGGCTTCTGTGTTCCTCAGAATATTCAATGAAGCAATCTGGCACATCTATGATATCACCTGCTTCACGCCATTCATCATAGAAAGATGAACTCCTCTCCACGAATGCAGCATATGACAATCATCAAGAGAGGAACTGGAATATAAAATATCTCCTCATTGTAGAATCCCTTCACTTCTCAAAAATAAATCAGATTCAAGCATTTTTATTTTATTTGGGTTTGATTTGGTTGACTATGAAAGAAAATGACTAACTCGTGTTTCATGACATGCATGAGGACGGAAGTGTGAGTAGCATCGAGGAGTTCCCAGTATAACAAACGTGTTCGTGCCTCATATACCAGAAAGCCAGTGGAACCAGACTACTAAGATTTGCATACATGTACATGTATTAATGAGGTCATCCTTCAGATGAAAGGAGCTTGACAATTGGATTGAAAAAAGCCCATTCTTTCTCTGGACCAATCAAAACCATTCTTATATCCCTGAAAAGAGAATTGTCAATTGTCACACTCCACTTGCCTGCAATGCAAAACCGTATTATGGTACTAGGCAAAAGGGTGGCTTTGTCGGACATATTCACTGGTACATGTATGTAACAACCGTCATGTTTTGTGGACCACTCCTATTCACACTAGTCCAAGGCGGATCTGACACTTTATCACATCGGTTTAATACTTGCACCAGTGAGGATAGGCCTAAATTATATTGTGTGGTATTTTTCTTGTTTCATATGACGTTGGGCACTCCGATTGAATGGGAGTCGACGTCATAGCTGGAGGCGGCAAGTTCTCAACCATGTAGAGGTTGTGGAGGAAGATGAGTGCGGAATGAGAGTGTGAGTTGAAGGGAGTGGGGTGACATTGACATCCCATGGGTGCTCTTCCCAAGGATCACCTTGTGCACAATCTGCAAATAATGAGTCAGGGGCAGCCTAGCCCCATAAATGTGGCCTATTTACTGGACTGCCTCCGTAAACATTAGGCCACACATCCACATGTACAAAAAATCGTGTCGACGGAGCCAAATTTTGATTTTCACATTTAGGCTTAGTTTGTAGGTTTTTTTTGCTTTAGAAGCATACTCACCCTCTTTACAGGCTAATCAGAAAGTGCTGCCTTTTTCAGATGTCTAATTTTTGTGAAATTTCATGTTGAAATTTTGATACGCAAACGTGTAAAAATGAATCTGGAAATTTCACGAAAAATATACATCTGAAAAAGGCAGCACTTTCTGATTAGCCTATAAAGAGGGTGAGTATGCTTCTAAAGCAAAAAAAACCTACAAACTAAGCCTAAATGTGAAAATCAAAATTTGGCTCCGTCGACACGATTTTTGTACATGTGGATGTGTGGCCTATGTTTACGGAGGCAGTCCAGTAAATAGGCCACATTTATGGGGCTAGGGGCAGCCATGTGACCTCATACCGGATACTCTACATCCTTGGCCCTAGGCTTCTTGCTACAATGCCTCTTGCTACTCTTCAACAACCCCAAGTTACTATCTTCTCCTGGTGGCATCCCAACAGTTTGGGAAATACACGGACAGAATTCGTCTGGAAACAAAGTAACAGAATAACGTGTTCCCTTTGAACCTCCAACAATAAATACCCTACATTCAGGAATGCAAGTTATCCTGTGGTTATCGAGCAGCATTTTGGCCATGCTCAACTGGCCCCGTCTTCCTTCAGAAGCAGCAACACGTACTGTACCTTCGGATTGACTTAGCTAATTTACTACATGGTCAACAAACGAACTTGGGCCAGCTAGCATGAATTGCAAATGTATGTCATCCAAGTAGGTTGGACATTTCTTGTGATTAATCTTTAAACGATAGTCACCTGGATTGCAGTAACCCTGAAGGAGCTCATTAAGGTAGAAATTGGAAAGGTAATACATGCCTAGAACCATGCTATCCATGGGCATCTCCTTTCTTGTTTCGTAACAGCTTTGAAACTTTTACTGCTGTTTGTACCCTGCATCCGGCTTGTACATGTGTCCCCAGTGCTTTAGAAATCCATCTGCCTGAAGATGTAATGACACGCCCACCTTTTGATCTTGACCTGCCCAAGTAACGAATTGTATTCATGTTTGCTCTTACAATTCCAGAGCCCCATAACATTCTTTCTGTATACTTGACGGTCTCCACTTCCTCCCCCCCCCCCCCCCCATGGGCAGTGACCCACCGTTTTACATCACCAAACAGGTGGTTTCAACAAAATATGTGACCTGTCACCACAAAATGAGAGTAAAGTCGGAAAATTTCAAAAGTTAGATTTTGGTATTTCTGAAATCTATAGATCAAGAGCTTTCCAATGGTATATAACACTTGGGGGTACTGCGCTCACTAACAAAGTTAGAGCCTAAGAAAGTCGTGGAGTCTACACACATTATAGGAAATATTTTTTGAGAAAACAGACTTTAAAGGGAATATACAACATTTGCAAACATCGAAAAATAAAACTACCAAGTTTTTGCGAAATACCTTAATAGGATGTTGGTAAATGACAGTCTAAAGCATCCTGTAAAATTATGGCACCTGGTATACTGTCATTTTCAAGAAAAGTGGTATTTTTGTATCAATTTCCAACGCTGATCGGCCGATCAGCGTTGGAAACAACTGGCTTTTTTTTCAAATACTGGCCCCAATTGACCATTGCACTTGTTTGCAATCGATTACAAACCTATGAACGGGTACGAGCCAGCTAGATTGGTTCCCTGACCTTACAATTCCCCAATGTATGTAAACTGCTCTGTTTCTTCTTATATGGAGTCAGGGGACCAGACTACAGGAAAATGATCGTTTTTCTTGGTTTTTATAGCATTTTCGAACCCAAAACCTCCAAAAAGTCAGTGTAACTATATTTGCTTTATATTTCCAACCCCTCAATTCCATCCATTTCTGAAAATTACAGCAAAAGCAAATGATGTATATTCCCTTTAAAGTCGTGTATAAGAACACCACACAAAATAATGCAACACATAGAAAGGTAGGTTCTGTTTCCTTAGCAACAACCATGTTCTGATTAATATTTTTACTTCAAATTTGCAGGACATACACACAATGACATTAGCATGTACATGCATTATTAATTGTAATGAATATAAGGGTCTCATTTGCATAATTTGCATAATATTTGCATAATTTAGCAGACGTTTTGAATACTGTTGAAATAATGTAAACTGGCTTAGAATTTCAAAATTCATTGCTTTTACATACGAATAGTAAATCATTTTGATACATGAATTAATCAAGCATTGATAATGTAGAACAAACGTAATTAAACATCTTAAAGGAGCAGTCTTTTCACAGAATTTACTTTTTTTATGAATTGTAAGCAGTTCAGCTGAGCAGTTATAAATAGTTAACCGTCCATGTTTGAATTATCTCTTTGCAAAAGAACAGTTTATAAGCAATTAAGTTAATTTTGTAATATCAAAGCAAACAAACATGGTATCTCACACAGACAAGATAGCACTTGTTCCATTTGTCCGATTTTGTTGCTTTGAGCATCAAGGTTAAAGGGGCAGTTATAGAATGTAAAGGTGCTCAACAAAGCAAACTTTCTTCATACACTGGACATCAATTATTGGAACTCCATGTCCTTCGTCATGTTTCGCTACGTACTATAAAACAACACACTTTAACTAAAAATCAATTAAGAAAACCTTAAAGAGGCAGTATTTGTTATACATGTATTTACAACTCTTCTTAAACTGACAAAACTTTCTTGGATTTTACGCTACAATGTACATGTATATATTCATTTCAGCAAATCGGAAATGATATGATTCAATGTAATGTCGTTTTCTTTTATTCCTTTACAACTTAATAAATTAAAACAAAAGTTATAGTGACGCCCAAATCGCAATCTCAAATCCTCTATCAATGAGATTTTGTAAAAAAGTACAACTTGTGTGTGCACAGTTAAATCAAGGGTATAATCAAGGGTTTGTTAACTTAAATCTTCAACGTCTACGTTTTGGTGGGGCAATTTCACTCTCATCAGTTGCGCTAGAACTAGAATCTTCATCACTAGATTCTTCATGGCTATCTTCAAGTTGCGACTCTGCATCTTCAACATCAGGGAGGGCTGGGGCAGCTGGTGGTGGTGGGCAAGTGATATCACACATCTGAGGGGTGCAGTACTCACGTATGCTTTGAAACAGGTACTCCGAACGCTTCGCAGACAGACCTGGGGGAGCAGTTGGCTCAGGTAGATTCTTGGCAGGCATGATACTGGGACTGCGTAAAAGCTGAACTCTTGTCTCTGGGGAGTCAGCTTATGCTTTCACGAAGGCTGCACCGGGATCGTCTTTGCTGAACCTTTGATAAAAAAGGAAAGAAATTACAAATTGAATATTGAGGGCACACAGAATGGTTTGTATGATGCTGGTGGAGATCCAAGGAGTGGCGGGTGACAGGTTATGCAAAAACAACTAGATGCATAAACCATACTTTAGAGACAACAATCGATAATGTTTTACCTCATGTGGTGGTAGCCTTTGATGCCTGGTAGAATTCGGAAGAAGGGTTTCAGGAATGCCTGCCAGTCATACAAGGACACGGAACTGGTACCATTCTCAGTGCCAACAAGCTGTGGAATATTCACACCACTCCTTGTACTGGTGCGAACAACCTCTTCAAGATCCCCCAGGCAGCTGACTACGCACTTTCGGTATCTCTGCTTAAGCAGGCCAAAACACCAGTCCGGTGAAAACTTTGTGTGGCCGGCGATGAGGAAGTTCACTGCTACGTTATCATGAAAACCATGAAGTGTTCGCCAGACAAAGTACCACATTACAAAATTGTTCTTGTTCTGCCCCGAGCAATTGTCGCAGTGGAGTTCAACATTCTCCTCACCCAGGCCATAGTGAAGAAAAAAATGGTGTAAATAACTCAAGACCGCATTAGATCCTTTAGATGACGACATACCCTCATCCACTAGGTAATTTACCTGTTCAGGGATTCCTTCACAGCAAACTCCAAATATGCCGCACTTGCGAGGGCAAAGAAAATACATGGGGCCCGGCTGGTTTGGATTGTGAGGGTAATGGACTTGCTGAGCAAAGTCGAAACTATAGTGAGCTGTCCCCCGTCGAGAAGCTGGCTGATGAAGACCAAGGTGTTCCTCTCCGACAGCTTGCTTACAATCTGCAACCATGGATCGGTAGAGATCACGCTCCATGTTTACAACCCGTAGATGTTCTTCCTGGCGTCTCAGCTGTGCGAGCTTTTCTCCATCCAGCTGGTTGGCGCTCTGGTAAACAAGACTGTTATTGCGTTGGCATACCCAGCATAGATCTGTCTTTGGTCTGGTGGTCAACACAAAGGGACAGTACTGGCTCCACAGCTTTGTGAATGTCACTTGCTTTACGATGCAAAAATCTGGATCACCTGGCATCAGAAATGAAAAAAAAAATACATTGAAAAATTAATAACATTTTCAAGAAACAAAGAAACTGTGTTTTGTGGTCATTTTTTTTAACTCTGTAGTAAAAAAGATAAAGCTCAAGGTACATAATGTACTGCTGTCAATAAAAGATGGAATTTGTTGGAGTGTTTACATCACATATATTTTTTAAAGTTCAAGGCCTTCTTACATCTTTGTCCTCGGTAAATTTATCTACAACACATCATAACATGGGATTAGACTGGCGTACGAATTAAAAACAATAAAAATACCAAAACGTATGTGGAACCTCTGTGTTTTGGGGTAAGCAGAGGAGTATAGGGGTTTGTACATCCATAATTTGAACGATTGATTTTTTTTTACTAATAAAAGTACCTGAAAGTCTCCGTGTAGAGTTCATATCCCCCATGTAAGTCTGATATTTCCTCCATACTGATGATTTCGTCTCAGATGAAGGAAGTAAGCGCACCCTTGGGTCCTGGCACTTCACCCCACTGACACGACCAGGTATCACCAATGCATGCTCCTCGGCATAGGAGCTGATGAACTGGACCACCCGCTCGATGTCCTTTACCGTCAGAGCCCTTGTATTAAACTTCCTTCCTCCTGATGTGATCTTATGGGGGGCAGCTCCTTCATGTTTATAGTGCTTGGCAAGACTCGTGAGCAGATTGTTAGAAACGCTGAAATATAATTCAAGAAAAAGTGTCGGAAAACGTTATTTACGCTGGCTAGTTGGGGGATCCAGCTCCAGCTCCACTGGTGAATCTTCCATGTCACGAGCAAGTGAACTGGATATTTCAAGCTAGGTTCAATTAAAACAAATAATAAACAACAACTTACTTGTGCATGAACTGGAAAACTTCACGACAGACCTTCACTCCTTCAACAAATTACTCGGTTCTCGATCGCTGTCGGACTTTCTGTCGGGGACGTTTCTTGCAATTTGTAGTTTGACTGTTGTTCAGTGTCGTACTCAACTTGCCAAGTAGGAACATCTTCTTCTCGGACTTGGTGAGTGTCGCATCACTCATTTGGCGACGAAGTTTGATGATGAATCCACTGTCAAACTTTTGCAGACATTGATGGTTGCGGCATCTGCACTTGTTGAAGTTCCTCACTTTCTCCAGCTCCTCCTCAGCATCAGGGGAAACCCAATCATCCATTCCTATGTTAGGGACATTAACAAATTTATGAGGGCGCTGTTCGTTTGGAAATTCGTTCATTTAATGACACGGTTTCTAAGGAAATTGTGATTTTCTCTCCGTTTGGCTCATTGATAATGTTTCTTTTAAATCAAAATATCACTCGAATTTTTTTAAAATCACGATTGCAATCTGCCTTTTAAGTTTTATTCATTAAACTAAGCTAGTTGAGTAAAGACAAAGATGTTTGTGTGTGCAAAATAAGTACACTTTCCTCTGCATTAAATGTACACAATTCAGGGAAAACAAAAAATTTAAATTAGAATTAAAATTTGTCTGACTTTCTCTTTAACCTTACAAAAAGTGAAAAACAACATATTAAAATAGTAGATTTTTTGTTGTTGAAAAATCCATTACTTAGCCCCCTACCTATATCCTGAATGATGTTGGCCGCAACATTTTCAACAACGATTGGTTCAAGATCATCGTTGTCATCAACATCCATGGGTTCTTCTGCGTTGTCCATTTCATTTTCCCCGTCAGAAGCAGACTCTTTCCAGCGGCCGCCGGCATCGGAATCAGAATCTGACGACTCGCGATCGCTCGCACTGACACTGTCGTGACTGTCCGAAGCATCACCGTGGTTATCGCTGGAAAAGAACTCCGTAAAAAGCTCTCCAAGTGCATCGTATTCAGCGGCATTGAGGCCCAAAATACGAGAATCGTTGAGTGCAATCTTGATTCGGTCTTCGTCGGACATTTTATTATTTCATAATATTGAAATCCTCACAAAATCAAACGAAAGAATTGACACATAAACGCTGCCATTTTCATGCATGCGCCATGTACATGTACAATGTACATTGATTGTATGTGTACGTACGTGTACGTGTACGGAGCTAGCTCGGACAACACTCGAGCGCATGCGCAGAAGATCATGTGGTAGCATTAAACCAATCACAGTCCTTAAAACGACAAGCGTTGGCAACAAGGGCTGTTTGTTTACATCGATGACAACCGAATAAACTCTCTTGTATTTTATTTATGAATGAAAGGTCAAGGGTTACCTTACTGAAAATAAAAAGGCCACGTCACCAGCTTTCGGACGATACCAAAATCAAGTGGGTACGTATAAGCAATCACGCGATAGGAGGGTGACAATGTTACAAAATCAGGCGGCTTTGCGTCTTTGTCTCCGACATTGTTTCAAGATTTCTGACCAGACACGAACAATGCCATCGTCAAAATTGGTCTAAAAATGATGTTTGTAAATGTCTAATTGCGCCAAAAAATTGGATTTAGATAGAACGGGGTTTACACTTTCCAAATATTACAAAACCCAAAAATTGACCACCCCTTCAATTTTGGACTTTGAACCGTCCTAATAGGAAACAGCAGAGTGCGACTTTACGTTCATTTCGTCGTGACAGGTCACATATGTTGGTTGCAGGTAGTTCTGGATGACAGACGTGGGTTTGGGAAAGCGTGATAGACGTAACAGACTAAAAATATGCAGGGTATTAAACTTAATCATTTCCCAGCTTGGGCTTCCCTCTTCCAGGAGAGTGCCAGTCTAGTCCAACGTCCCACTCGTACAGTTGAGGAACTGTGTCCATTTGATTTCTTGCTTGTTGTACTGTCGGTTTAAAAATTATTGGAAAAAATAGTATCACTTTGCACAATGTTATATCCTTGCAAATATATAGTCTGTTACACGAAAGGCTGTTACCTTCACTTGGTTTCTAAGTTTCAGTAAAACAATTGCAAATGATTTTTTACTCTAACTTACAAAAGGTTGTCTGGTCTTGTTTTGATATCCGGATTTTTCCAAGTTGTTCCGCGTTGTCTTCATTAAATGTGGCAGAAGAAGAAAATCTTCCTCTGTGAGTCCATGGGGTTGTCGGTGCAGAAAGTTACATCTGAAGAGGAGGAATCCTCATGTAGCCTAAATAACTTCCTGTTGGGAGATGCACCATCGGATATGAATGCTCGCACCTTAAACCCAGCTAACCCCCAAAACAAAGCAGCTTCCCATAAACATGGATACAGCTGGTGACTTGTGATGCAAACTGTGGGGTAGTAGCCTACTGGGGCATGTAGGCCAGAGAAAATACCCCGTGCCATCAGTACCATTTCATGTGTCGCAATACTGGACTCACTGTCACCTCGACATCTCCGCTCAAACTCGGCCAACTCATTTGCAATAGTGCCCACATCAGTGAAGCCGATCACCTTTCCCGAACAAACCGAGAACACCAAACCAGCCTTTATTTTGATTTCATCAAAAAGGAGGCAGATGTTTGATTCTCGTGTCCTTCACAACCCTCTCCAACATGTCAAAATTGAAGCCGGTAGTTGGGTTGGCAAAATGACTGTAGGGATGCAACGTTGAAGGATGTGGCAACCTTACAAAGCCAGTCTGCCGCATGAGGTTGTAGGCCGAGGACGATCTGCTCTGAAGGGCAATACACCAGCGTATGATTGCAGGATGCCATCTCATCTGTTTGCCCTTCAGAGCAGATTCCTTCTGCTGTTCCCATAGGAGACGGGCTGGAGTATCTGTCCCCAATACATTCCTCATTTCTGCCTCGCAGTCAACCATGGTTGATAGCAGCTCTCCAGCTTGAATACTATCTACACCGATGCTTTCCTCTTGCAACATGCTGGCAATCTTCTCGCTCAAACTATCGGCCCGTCGCTTTAGACTTCTTCTTTCTGTTTGAAGAAGGGCCACCTTCGTCTTCAGTTGCTTCTTCGTCAGGCTGCTGTTTGGAATCTTTGAAGATGTGGAGACGACCTGATTTCCCTTTGCCTTCTGCTGACCAAGCAATGCATTTAGGTCAGCCCTGTAGATCTGGCAGACCTCACATCGTGGTTTCTTCTCAACCAACAGAAGACATTTCTTATGGTGTACAGTGACTCCATCACAACTATCATTGGCTGTTATCTGGATGGGGACCTGTCCTTCTTCTCCTCTCTTCATTCTTTTCAACTCTTCAAAATCTTGGTTGCCCTCGCAGACAAACAGCGATGACACTCTTTCTAGCAACACTTCCAATTGCTCAACTGTGAGGTTTTCACCAACTCCTCGAGTGAGGTTGCTCTCCAGTGGTACAGGGACCGAGAAACAAGAAGTTGCCATGTGAAATCTGCATGTATAGTAAGAAAGACTTCCAGCAACTCCTCAGTACTCATCTTCATGATCTGAAGTAGACTTTCCCCTTGCCAAGTGGTACAACGTAACAGCTGTGCCATTACAGCCCACTCCCCTACAAGCTCAGAAAAAACACTGAGTTTGGAGGCAGAACACTTCTAACAAGACACTTCGACAAAAGATGCCAACTCAATGGTTAAATTTGCTCTCTGCTTCTTTTGCGCTTTTCCCCACCACTTCTTCAACTTCAAATGACAAAGCTTGCAAACGAAAAGTGGATGAACATCCTCAAATCTCCCTTGACATCGAGACCAAAGGCAGCTTGAATGATTTTGCTTAGCTGCTCCTTCTTGACAGGTTGACGGTCATTTTGAACTGCTCGTGGGAAACTGCACAGCCTACACATTTCCTGAAGGCACTCCTTATGTCTGCTCATGGTGCACGGCCTACAAGTACATGAACCTAGGAAAACAAAAACAAATGTTATCAAAATCTCTCAAAATAAGACAGATTTTGAAAAACACAATGTATTTATAAATTTCGAATGCAAAACATTGACATGTTTTCCACGGGTATGTACCGCCATGAATTGGAGGGAAAAGAAAATTCCACAAATAATGGGCAGAGGGTGTGAAGGTCATTGATGGCTAAAGAGCAAGGTTTGATCTTTGGTAAGTTACATTTTTATAAAATACCTCTTCTGTCCATATGGTCCCTCTTATAATTTTACTGAAAAAAATATTTGGAATCCAAATTTCAAAAAATAATCTTTCACAGTAGGCCTACTTTAAGAAGAATCCTTAAGTCAGAAAAACAATTCCTGAAATCTGGGGGGGGGGGAAAAACGGGCCAAAAAATCCAAGCCAAGAAATCGGGCCAAGAAATCAGGAAAAATACCGTCCTCAACAGTGGTTTCATTTGCTTTCAACACTGAAGTGGGGTCTGAATTCTACATTTAGAACCTTCCACTTCCAGTTCCACAACTTGATTTTATTTTAAAATAATAAAATACAACAGATAAGTGGGTGAACATTTTTACATATTAAGGACAAAAATCAAGGTAGAATACACCCCATAATAATAATATCCCACCAAATTCACCGAGGCAAAATATTCATAGGCCTAGCTTAGGGCCTAATAAAAAATCACCACTCTTTTAGTTTGGAAAAATCTAATTAGTAAGTATTATTAGTGTTAAAACAAATCTTTGAAACAATCATATCTTAAAAATACGATTATTGTCTTAAATCTTCCCATGCCAATTGTGGGTTTTTTTCTTTTCATTCAACCGTTGCCACCTTTTTTTGTCATCTGCTGAAATGTTCCGCTTTTTCACCATCTCTTCAGCCATTACAATGTCAAGTCGTTATAGTCTACTTGTTATTTTGGCATCCTTCAGGAGCATTTTGTATTTTTCTGGATGGTTTGCCTTCATTCTGTCTCGCAACTTTTGGGATGCAGATTTTGTTTTGTCGTGCTGCTTTTGGGATGCAGCTTTTCTTATCTTGATGGTTTCTGGATGCAGATTTTGTTTTGCCTGGCTGATTTTGAGATGCAGATTTCATTTTGGACGGTTCCGCATAATTTGGCCAAGATGCAGGCCATATCCTCAATTGAAATGGTAGCATCTTGAATGGTTTTAATACTTTCCTGAAATCTGAAAAGCAAAAGTGAAAGATTTATTTTCGGTTATTACAAGCACTAGTGTCATTTCAGCTCTTTTCTTGGAGGAGATCGGTTTTCCTGAACTTCAGCAAAGAGAGTGAAAAAAATGTATATAAGTGAACATTCCCTTGTAACACACTGTGGCGAAACGAGCTATATAGGCCTACCCTTTGTGGCGTGAATAACTAGGTCACCCGACAGTCTGACCTGATCAAAGAATGAAATTAGACCTGGCTTTAACCCACAAAAATATTTATTAACCTCACGCAAGGATGAGCGGCTACCCTGTCGCAAGGAAGGATATAGTTAACGAACGGCGGACTAAGCCTAGGGGCTGTTCGTTTGGCGGAAATATACCACCGATCTGCGATTAAGTACTTGACCTTATTGACAAAAGAGGAGACTAACTTATTGAGATATATCCAACAGAGAGCGGGACTACATGTACATAAGCTTCACAGTGAACCTCAATAACCCTCACGGGGACAAGCGATTCCAAGACGTTAATCAATTAGTTTATTCCTTTAGCACACTTCAAATATAATGTCAATGCGTCACCATTCAATAATTTATACAATGATGAAATTCACCGTTAAAATAAATCCAGGTAAACCTCGCTGTGGTAAGGGGCGCTAGTAAACCTCGCTATTAGAATAAGCACTAGTAAACCTCGCTCTTAGAATAAGCACTTGCAAACCTCGCTGTGATAATGAGCACTACTAAACCTCGCTATTACTTTATTAGAAAAGCACTAGTAAACCTCGCTCTTAGAATAAGCACTAGTAAACCTCACTGGGATAATCTAGTAAACCTCGCTGTGATAATGAACACTAGTAAACCTCGCTCTTAGAATAAGCACTAGTAAACCTCGCTGTGATAATGAACATGATGAACACTAGTAAACCTTGCTGTTAGCTGAGGGGTCAAATGCACCCCTTGTCTCCTTGCAGAGTTGCTCAATGTCTCCGAGGCAGGATACTTGTCGTACCCTGTAGGCCTTCTTCAGCAGTCCAAAACACCAATCTGGGGCAAACTTGGTGTGGTCGACGAGAAAATGCAGTTCAATGTTTGTGTGCAGCTGATGGATGGTCCGCCACAGCAGGTACCACAAGGTGAATTTGTTCTTATTTTGCCCACTGCAGTTGTCGCAGTGCAAGTGAACAGTTGTTTCCCCCCACCCATAGTATCCAAAGAAATGATGCAGATAACTCAATACCGAGTTGGACCCTTTGCTGACAGCCATACCCTCGTCGATGAAATAGTTTACTTGCTGTGGCAGTGCCTCACAGCATACCCGAAAGATACCACACTTTCTAGGACAGAGGAAGTAGATTGGTCCGGGTTGTTGAGGATCAGGTGGAAAATGCACCTGTTGTGGAAAATCGAAGCTATAATGCATTGTAATGTGTTGTGAGTTATGAGGATGTGGGCCCAATTTCTGTTGCGGTAGCAGGATCTGCTTTGAGTCGTGCACTAGCTGCTGGTACAGGGCCCTCTCAGTGGTGACATGGTGAAGATGAACCTGCTGAGCAGCCAGTCGTTGTTGTTTTTCTTCATCATTCAGATTAGCGCTGCGAT